CCCCCCCCAGTGGACTAGATCCTGCTCGGGACTCTATTTATTCTGGTAAAAATATTTTGCAGAGTGGGCCTCTCTTGGGAGTCTGTGCTCAGAGCCGAGCCAGCCGGGCGCCCAAGCACCACTGTGCTGTGTCCCCTCCCCTCGCCTGCGGATGACGTCCAGGCGGAGGGCGTGGGAACCTAGGGCCCCTTTATTTCCTCTTTCTGGCTGGAGGCTTCTCTTCCCTCCCTCCGCAGGGGTGCGAGGGTCTGGCGCTAAGCACAGGGCGCCCTCTGCTGGCAGAGCCTCAGATGGCAGGTGGGCCAACCCACAGCTTGACAGGTGCCCCTGGCCAGCCTGTGCCAGGTGGCTGGCACCTGTGCGGGCAGCCAGGCAGGCAAGGAGCAAGTGTGGGGGGTGTCCAGGGTGACAGAGCTCTCAGCGGTGGTATCCCGCGGTTACAGGGCCGGGGGTGTGGAGAGCACAGTTAGGGAGGCTGGGGGACGGCGTCCCAGTTAGCAGCGGGCCACGGGGACAGGAGCCTGCCAGGCAGAGGGGCAGCCAGCACGCAGGCCGGGACGGCCTGGCGATCCTGTGGGGATGCCATGAACCCGAGAGTAAGGGAAGGTGGGGAGAGGCCGTCACAGGCCCCCGTGTCCCAGGTCTGTGGCAGCCGGGGAGATGGCCCCACGACTCCTCATCCCACAGGGGAATCCAGAAGAGCACAGCTTGGGCCTGGGCGAGGCAGTGGGGAGTGCTAATCAAACCCACGGCGGAGACACCACCACCAGCAGTGCCCCCAGCCGGGCCCACGCCCACCCGAACCGTCCCCTCTCCGAGGACGGTCTCACGGGGGGTGGGGGCACGTATGACTGTTCGCAGATGTGCGGGGACAGGTCCATCCGCTGATGTGGCCCCGGAGGCTCACCTGGCACTCTCTGTAGGTGGGGGGCGGCGCCCTCGATGACCCCGACAGCTCGATTCCTGGCTTGCCGTGGCCAGTGCCAACACGGGGCTTACGGATCCCTGCAGATGGCTGGTGCTCATCCTGGGCACGAGCACGTCGGGGTGAAGTTGGACGGGCGTCCAGATGGAGGGAGGCTGGCCAAGGACTCTGCGACACGCCCTTCCTGACACCTGCCTCTAAACGGGCACAGACAGACCACTCCCAGTTTGAGCTGCCTCGTGGCCCCTGTGAGGTCAGGCCAAACTGCTCTGACAAGTCAAAGGCCTGCCCAGGTTTCTGTAGAACTACCTCGTGTGACGGCTGTGTCCCTCACTCACTCGAGCACTTACTCGGGCGCTGCCGTTAGGGCGTTTCGCGGGTGTGTTTAGCACGTACAGCCAGCCGACTTTAGGGAGATTATCCCCAATGATGTGTTTGGGCCTTACCCAATCAGTTGAAAGACCTTAAGAGCAAAACACAGGTTTTCTGAAGAAATTCTGCCCCAGGACCGCAGCGCTGACTCCTGCCGGCCCGGCTCCCACGTGAGCCCACTCTCCTCCTGGACACCCGCCTCCCGTCGTGCTGTTTCTGACAGCGTGCGGCCTCAAGATCCTCGGGTCAGTGCATCTCACCACGTTCCTCCCGCGCCAGAGCCCCTGGGGGATCGGGCCTGTGCAAGGGCTGGGGTGTCGGACGGGCCCGGATCCTGACCCTTCTGAGCTGATAGCCTCGCGCCTGCTCTGTGACCTTGCCCAGCCCGGTTCCTCACCTCGTGGGGCTGCTGGAGCAAATGACAGGTCCTGTACGGTGCTTAGCACCACGCTTGGCACGGGGATTTTGCCAAAAA